TTGTGTAAAATTATGACCTTTTAAATATCAAATAGATTACATATTATTACAGAACAGTTACTTGGTTTCTTACGAGAAACAAGTATGTTTTTCATTATATTCACCAGGTGCGTTCTATAAAGAGGGCGTTTATGGTAGAACCATATATATTTCAATAAAGGCTTAGTAGTTTTATGTCAGAGAGGGGTAGCCCTTAAACCAAAACCATACATTTCAGCTTCATTGAAATTGCTTTTTTTGTCTGATATAAGGTAAATCCTCAAATGCGAACAAAACATGCTGGGCATTATAGTGGTTTTAGAGAGAGTCACTTAAGAGTTAGGCTGAGAAAAAGAAAGGGGGGGAGGGAATCATTTAAATGGAATTAAGAAAAGTTGGAAAACATAATAAATAAAAATATAAACATAATAAATTAAAAAAAAAAAAAAACAAAACATAATAAAACCCTGCAAAAATAGACAGATTGCAGCATAATGCTACAAAACTTAGAAATTGATATTCCTAGCCTGCAGTTTTACTATTTGGAATCTTCTTTGGGGAAACAGCTAATTAAAAGGAAACCATTGAAAAAGTAATGTACAGCATGTCTGGAGCAGAAGCCTGAAACAGTAAATTCTGAAACAAGGCAAAATTTTGGAGAGCTACAGCATAAAACTACCATACAGACACCACTGGAAAAGCTCAGCTTCTGCTGTCTTGCATCTATTAATCTAGCGTCTCTGTGTATACAGTTCAAACCATTTTACAAATATTTATCATTTGTAGGAGGAGCTGTTGCCAAGAGCTATCTTAATACTGTGACCATAAATAAAGCATCCCAACACAGAGCTCTGAATGTAAAACAAACCGTTTGGAGAAGGTGGGGACAAACAATCTCTTGTGAAATATGAGCCAGACTTCATTAAGCTGTACACAGAAAACGTTGACATTGAAAAATCTAAAGAACTTGTGGAGATTTCAGTTTCCAGCTATTATCCATGACTCCTGAAAACGTTTTCCATCCTCATAGGTTTATTCAAATATCTTTTTTCATCGAGTTCTTACACCGACCTTATCTCTGTATCTCCATATTTTCCAGGGGAACAGTAAAAAGGTGGTTAACGTGTGCCACAGGTGTTTTGTTCTCACACCTCCCCAGCATGAGAAATAGGGGAAACCATCTGATTTCAGACCAACTCCAAAAAGACTTATTCATAACTTATTGGGAGCATCCACAGAATAGAGTCATAGAATTATTAAGACTGGAAGAGACCACTAAGGTCATCAAGGCCAACCATCAACCCATTCCCACCATGCTCACATAGAATCATAGAAGGCAGCAGTTATGAACCAAAATATTTCTTTTCAAGAGGGAGTGCAAACTACAAATCTGAGGAAGAAACTCCCACTAGCAAACAAATGTGAAGCTTTTCCCATGCATAATCTATTTCATGAACATTTGCTGTACCTTTCTTGCATTTTCCCCTGCAACTCCTGGAACCGCCAGCTGTTGGATAGAAGACAACCAGATAGATGTTATGAGGCATTGACCTACCATGGCAGAAGTCTGTTCATTAATATCCTGGACTATTTCCTTCAGGCAACTGAAACTTGTAAGCATACAGCCTTAGTTCTGAAATAAGACACTGTGTTTGATTCATGCCAAGCATGAGATACAGCCACCACAGAAGGTGATGCCTTTGGAGAAGAAAAACCTGCATGTTGGCCATTTATCAACCAAAGGCAGAACCTGGCACATCTGCATGACTTTTGAGAGCAAATCTTGGAATAAATCACTCCCTCGGGCACACCCTGATGCATACACATATATGTATCTTAGTGCTGGAAAATGAGGAAAGCTTCTCCAAGTAGGAGTCCAGAAGAAGCCACCATGTGTTTGGTGTAAACAGTCAGAAAGCAGAGCCCTGGAGCAAATGAAACCAAGGGAATATATGCCTTTCCCCTCTTCCTTCCTTCCTTCCTTCCTTCCTTCCTTCCTTCCTTCCTTCCTTCCTTCCTTCCTTTTTTTAATTGTCATGTGTGGGCTACATGTTGTCTTCTGATGCTGTCCTGTGCCCATTCCATCTCCTGATTTCAATCTCTGCTGAACTGAGCATCGTTTTTGGGAATAGCTTGTTATTGCACATCTGCAGAAATGTTGCACAATATTAACTTTCAGCAGCCTTGGGCCAATGTGCCCTTTGTGCATCTAGTGCATTCTGCTGGCCTTGAACCACGACTGCAAATAATGAAGCTGTGTTGACTCAGGGTTTTATTTCTGATAAATTTCAGCCCCTCCTCCCCCTTTTTATGCCTCATACCTAAATATTTTCTCAAGCTCTTTGACCAAATCACATCCAAACAAAATGTCTCCACAGTGTTAAAAGTGTACCATTCCTGCATGTATTTCTCTGAAAGCAGTCAGCAGCAGAGTGGTCACAACTTTGTAGCGTTGTAGTAGGTAGGAAAACGTGTGTCAGGTATATTTCTGGTATGCATTTCACCTGTGCTCTTTTCTTAATTTGTTTAGATCCTCTTAGAATTGTTGCAGCAGTTACTTCAAGCCCTGACTGGGACAGTCTGACCACTGGCAACCAATGATGTACAGGAGCAGAGGGACTCCTTCCTCATCCCACAGTGTGCTTTGTGCTGGGGATGCTGACTCACTGCAGGACAGATGCTGATACCCTTTGTCCATGTTCTCTACCACCCTTGCAAAATTAAGGGTGTGAATCAAGCCTGTGCTATGTTGGACCCACTCCATTGCCAGAAATAGTCCAAGCTATCAGAGCTCCTTGAGTTTCTTCCCTTCCTTTTCTTCTCCCCCCCCCCATGAAAAGAGCTGTTCCTCCCACAAGATACAGGAAAAGATCCTGAGCCCAGCACAGCTCCACACAACCATGATTGATGTCCAGTGCTGCAGATGCACTTTTTTAAAGTAGACTTAAAAATTACTCCCCTTAATAGAGATTAAATATTGATTACCTAAGTAATAGCTCTGTCTGCAATAGGAAATAGATCTGGAACAACCCCCCCACATCAATCACACGTGAACAGAGGAAATATACCAGAGGAACGGCAGAAAGTTTTCAGATTTTTCTCTAAGACCATCTTCATCTTCCATACAGATGCATACTAATGTATATACAGATGTAAACAAACATGTACTTATGCACACACACCCATCCTTCGACTTTCCCTGGAGTGCTAGCTCATTTAACTTCCTATTGATTACTTAACATTTTTCATCACACTGTTACTACATCTTCCTTCATTACCTGGCACACCGTGTGTACTTACCAATTTGGAAAGCATGTCAGGTCTTATCTGGAAAAGTGAGGCTTGCCCACAGCGTGCCATCCACATGGTGTGAGTGTGCCCCTGCATCGCGTGGTGTGGCAATGTCATCAATGTCATGCAAAGATGGGGAGGGACAGGGGGATGTGGTGGGAAGTGACAAGGGACAAATAGTGCTGGGGTGCAGAACAGCAAGGCCCATGTCTCCTATGTTACATCAAAGAACAGGAAGGAAGCCACCAGGTCCCTGAGGAAGAAGATGTAGACCCTTTCCATCCCTCTTCACACTTGCACTTCTCTGATTTATGAGTTTGGAAGTCTTCAGTGCTTATAGAATTATAAAAGTTGAAAAAGACCTCGAAGATGATCAAGCCCAACCATCAACACAACTCTACCATGCCTTCTAAACCATGACTTTCAGTATTACACCTCTACACGGTTCTTTACTCTGTCATTCCCAGATTGTGCCCAAGGCTCGAGTTCTATAACTGCTCGTAACCTGGATGCAAAAATGGTCTTTAGCCTCACATGGCTGCCTATGAACCATGAGTTGCTCAGCCCAGACATCACAAGTTTGGCTCCTCCAGAACCACCAGAGCCAGCAGCCTATTCATCCTGCTGCAGCAAGCTGACTTTAAAAAGGCAGTTTTCCTTGCCAACTAGTGTTGCAGCACTTTGCTTATCTACTCAATTTGTTGGAAAAAGATAGCAATTTTCCCTGACCTTTCCCTTCTGAGATAGCATCAAAGCAAGGTTAGATGTTAGATAAAGTCCAGGGACGTGTGTCCTCTGTTCTGGTTTGCAGCGGTGTGTCTTGTCAGCAGAATGCACAGCATCTTTGGAATACATAAACATTAGAGAGTAATTGGACAAATGTCTGTAATAGTAGTAATGCTCTAGTTACTCTGTTCATATTTCATTTCATGTGAGCATAAGAGGATTTTTCCATCCTACAGGGCATTGTCTTTGGCTGTCATTGCAGTCAGGTGTTCAATAGGGAAAACTCCAGTAGCTGTGGGAAAAATCCATCAGGTGGCAACACAATCTGAGAGTGGAGCAGGAGACTCACTGTTGCTCTGCACTCCCATCTCTAACTCCATCTTGCCAACTGAAAGTAAAATGATAGTTTTATACCATATCCCACACAAAAATAGTTTACCATCATAAAATCATATAATCAGAATCATTTCAGTTGGAAGGGGTCCTTAAAAGCCATCAAATCTGACACCCCTGCAAATTAATAGAGACATCTACAGCTCCATCAGGTGCTCAGAGCCCCATCCAGCCTAACCTAGACTGTCTTCAGGGATGGGGCATCTGCCATCTCTATGGGCAATGTGTGCCAGTGCCCCATCACACTTACTGCAAGAAAACTTATTCCTTATATCAAATATAAATCTCCCCTCTTTTAGTTTGAAACCGTTTCCCCTTGTCCCGTCACAACAGACCCTGCTAAAGAGTGTGTCCCCTTCCTTCTTACAGCTCCCCTTTAGCTACTGAAAGGCCACCATCTCCCATCTCCTGGAGCTGCCTTCTCTCCAGGCTGAACATCCCCAGCTCTCAGCTTCTCCTTGTAGGGAAGGTTCCATCCCTTGAAACATTTCTGTGGCCCTCCTCTAGATGGCTTTCTGGTTGATAAGTGTTTCATAGGCATAAATTTCTGAGATATTTTTCTCATGTAGATTTTTTTTTGTTTTATATCAGAGGCAGTTTTCCTTGTTTAAATGGAGGCAATCTAGATAAGAGCTGAAACTCTCACCTCTGCAGAAATCCTCCCCCAACAGCTTTCTGATGGCAAAGGTTGTTTGGAAGGGGCATCCACTGGTGTTACTGCAAGACTTCCCAAGGCAATCTTCTCAAAGATCTGTGGGTCTCAGTTTCCAGAACCTCACTAATAATGAACTCTTCTGCATCATTCCCAAAGACAGTAGCATCAACATGCTGTTCTGCAGGTGAATAAGCCACAACATGAAAATAACTGTAAGTAAAATGAAGAAAGCAGGCAGTGCTCAAAGACAAAACATCTTCTTGGTACCTGGCTCCCTTTCATCCCCTACAGGAGTGAGACATTCAGCTGACACAAACAGGCAGGCAACAGCATGAACATCCTGACAGGACAGGCTGATATAAACTTACATTGTGAGAGCCAGGCCAGCAGGCTGAAAAATCACTCCTTGTTTTGTCAGATGCTCTGCCCTGGCTTGGGTAGCAGCACGGTCCTTTTTAGCACTTGCCTAAAACAGGACAACTGACAGCAAGGTGCTCAAAACAGTTCAGAAACTGCAGTTATGTGCCAGCAAGTCCAACGGATCTGAGTGGGACCCAGGCTGGAGAAGCAGTCTGTAAAGCCCATAGAGCAAACACATGTGGCTGGACCAGCTGCCTTTCTTAGGGCAGCAGGACCTTTCCGAAGGACACAGAGATGCATCTACAAAACTCCCAGAGTGGTCAGAGATCTTAAAATACCTCATTGGTTAAACAAAAGGTTTTGAGGCTATTGCTGTAAGTGTAAACACGATCATAGTAGCACCAGTAGGTGCTACTAATCACTTTCAGTAGGTGCTACCAATCACTCTCTATATTACCAAAGGTCATTTATTTATTCCAGATACTGGTGACCAGGTCCAGACTGCCATCTTCTACAGAGTCCATGTGAGAAACTTTTGTGGCCACAAAAGGACAAAGGACTACAGAGACTGCAAAGTGATGCAAAATCTATTTATGCCCAATCTTGTATATAAGGAATGTGTTTTCAAAAGCCAGGCAGAAAAGTATGAGCTCAAGATGAAATAACAGTCTTTCAGCTCAACATGTTTGCACATATGTTGACTTGCTGTGACTCTGGCAGTACAATGTGGCAGCATTTGTACTAATGTGCATTTATGCCGAGTGAAGTTTTATTTTTTCACACCCTTCAGAGCCATTGCAGACCTCCTAGAAGAGCACCGAGCATATAAAACCACCATCTCCAGAGCTTCCAGAGCATGTGCTGAGGTCAGTGCTCTGCTAGAAAACCTCACTGCTCCAAAAAAGTGCATGGCAGCAGCATGCCAAGAGATTCTCCTCTTACCATATAGTTTGAACTGTGTGAAGAACACCCGTGGTTTAACTTTGATCCAAACTTTAGCAGGAAAAAGAAACTTCATTATGGTCAGATGTCTAAAACTGGTGTTTCATTAACATATTATCTCTGTCTCAATTCATTAAGAGCATATATTCGTCTACATTGTATTAATCCTGACTGTGGCATCACAGCTAGATTATGAATCTATCATTTGATCTGTCCATTTCCTTGCTTTTAATATTTCAAAGCCATCATTAAAAATGAATATAGGCAGAAATTTCAATCTCAGATAATTATCACTAACCACTAATTGGTTTTCAGCTGGTATATTGTGTGCAAGGTGAAACAGTCATAAAAGAGAGTTTCCTTCAAATACACTTACTAAGGATAATCCTGGTATTTGCAGTAGAATTTAACTATCAGGTTTATGCCCTGTTCCACTTCTAGCTGTAGTATTTACTTTTCAACTAAATTCAACGAAATAGAGATTTCTATGGGAAGTAGGAACCATTGTGCAAAAGTGCTTTGCCAAAAACCTAATGTTCTACTGATGGAAATGTGTTCACTACAATTTTACCCAAGCCTTTTATCCTCACAACAATGTGCTATCTGCTAGCAGAACTGATGAAAATTATAAAATGAAAATAAATAGTTGTACTGTGCATGCTTATTTAAAGTGAGATTTAGACAGAGTGAGAATACAGACTGAAAAGGAAGCCCAGCGCCAGAAAGAAACCAAGGCTGCTTGATATTTCACGTGCATTTAAATAATATCAAACACAAGCAAACATAAACCATAAGGAGCGAACAGAAGTTTGTCTTTTAAGAAGTATGGAAATTAATCAGTAGGAGGAAAACTGAAATTGTGACGAATCCTCAGTTGCAAAGGATGCTTTTTATTCTCATGTGTGTGTATTGGGTGCCCTGGTTCTCCTTTCATTGACACGGTTGTGAATTGAGAGTGACTTATAGGGGAGATTGCCTGTTACAGACTGAGAACAAGACTCAGAAACTCGAACAGATTGCACCAATGTATTACAGAACAGATCTTTTTGCATGAACACTCATAGAAATTGTCTGAATGCACTTAGTTTGAAGTAAATCTGCATAATTAAAAACTTAGATAAGGTATTATGCAATTGGATTCTATGAAGCCCAGGGCGCCTTCTTATCCTGTGCACCTTTCCAAGGGCCATCCAGTGAGAGTTGCCCAAAGCAATCAAGCCTGGCACAGCAAGTATCTGCAAGAAGACAAACAAGCATTCCGCAGAAAAATAGAAAGTGAAAAATACATCAGGGGAATTTAACTTTTCCTGAGAATTTGTCAGATTCACAGACAAAGGGCTTGGCTGCAAGGGAATCTGCTGAGAGACAGTGAGAACCCTTCTGAATGCAGTGGTCCTGTCTGCATTTATAGCCACAGAGAATTTGGCCTTTCTGCATATTGATTTTGGGCCCAGCCCTCTGAAGGCAATGCTCTGCTCCTTAAATCATGGCAGTGATGAGTAGGAGCAGATTAAAGCCGTCAGGATTTGGCCCTTTGTAGATTAATAAAGGAGTGCTGAATGGGAATTTTGTCTTTGTGATTTTCTTGGAAGTGGACGAATAAAGTGCTTTGATCTATAAGGCGAGTGTGAAAGGTCACTGGCTAAGCATGTGTGCTGAAGTGCCCTGAGCCATCCAACACGATCAGCATAAATTAGAATCTGACTGCCCAGCTTTATTCATCTTTATTGATGTCTATATAGCTGCGAAGGCAGACTATAGCAATTCCAGCCAGTGTAGAGAACTAACTGGGGCATGCAAAAATCCATAAAATGTTTAATATTTCCCAATGGAAGTAAATATAGGAGTGTGTGTTAGTGATGCACGAGCCCCATAATTTTATCGTTTGGGTTTTGTTTGGACCTGGATCTAAACCTTTGGAAGCTTATCTGAAGTTTCCAAAACTACTTGTGCGTGCAAAATTGCAGCCACGTTTAGAGAGCTTATCATGAGATTTTTCCATTGTTTTGAGCCCTGGCTGAACCAGTAGTAGTCATTGCCATCAATGCCTAACTAAGATCTATCAATATAATATGGGTGCACTCCCCAGGGCAAACTGATGCACTGATTGCAGTCCTGGGGGAAAAAAACACTGCACACAACTGGGCAACACAGTTGCAGAAGGAAAGGCTTATGATGTCCAAAATCTTTGCCTCAAGGTCACTTTTGGGAGCAGAGATATTTGACTCAAAAAAGCCACCAGATGTGTAGATTTGCCACCATTCAGCCATGGCAGGAAGAGGCAGGTTCAGCTTTGCTGTTGTTTTGAGCACTCATCTCAGGCCTGCAGTCAGTCATTCAGCAGTACAAAATCCTCCATTACCGCCCCTATATCCACAAAGGACCTCTGCACCACCAAGCTATTGGGTTTTCTTCTTGGTCTTGTCCCCAGAAACATAAGTGTTTGGGTTCGGAGGTCCTCAGCACAGCAAAAGCCACATCACCCCCTTGGTGAATGAAGCTTTCATCTTTCAAAAACATTGCATCAGTAACAAGAGACAACCTTTCATTACCCGATTGACTCTCTTAGATGTCAGTAGATGATTTTTGAGGCCCAGTGATTGGCAGAAAAATGTAATCTATTGAAAGCTGAATGTGCAAAGAACATCATGAAAACTACACATTTCTGCTGAAAGGTTCCTATGATCAAGGCCCAGAAGCCATGTTCCAAAAAACGTCCCTAAGCTAAAAATCCTAGGTCAAAATGATCATTTTGATCATTTAGTCTGACCTCCTAAGAAACAAAATTTAACAAGCAATTTTTGCCTCAGTCCTGTAATGTTTGGCATATATCCTCCGGAAAAGTTACAGTGCTGAATTAAAATCTCAAATAATGGGAAAATCCAACATTTGCATTGGCTTTTTTTTCCTAAAATCTAGTTGTTGATATTGCTTAAAACAGGAATTTTCTTTTTCTACTTGTACCATCATGGAGCAAATATTGTCACCATTGTGTAGACTGGACACAAGAACACAGTGAACTCATAGCTGCCAATTATTCAACTGTACTGATTTTCATGTTCCACTAGAGAAATATTTCCTAAATGGGCAGTATGGGAAATAGCATAGTTACTATGGATGCTGAAAAGAGCGTGAACAAAACATTTAGATGGATTTTTGTTTTTAAAATCCGAGAAAAAAAGAGCTTATATTTACAACACATGCCTTTGTTTCCCTTTAAGCTGGAAACACAGTATATAATTTTCAGTAACCACAGTGCCTCTATTTTTTCCGACCACAAATTAACCATAATTCAGTGCAGTGAAATGCAGTAAGACCGATGGAATGCTTCTGCCTAAGGGATGACTTACCCCTAACAAAAATTATGCTTTGCTTCCTATTTGTTGTGTTCGATAATATTGCCTCTCTAAATACTTTTGGTTCAGTACTAACACCGAATGAAGAGGAAAGCCTCCAGAATGTACAGACGTGCAGGATTATGTTTCGTTTGTCTTTGCTCGTTGTCCTAATTCAAACCAGTCATCCAACCACTGACTTATGACTCTAGGAGGCATATTGTGGGGATTTTAAAAACCACCCAAACTCAAAGGATAACATTCTGTCCTCAGCTACACCCCTGCAAGAGCTGCAAAGTTTATACATCTGCACATGTGCAACAGAAACTTAAAAAAAAAAAAAAAAGAAAGTCCAACACATTGCCTTTTTAGTTTGTTACGTTTGAAAATACAAATGATTTACTCCAGACATGCATGACTAGTTTCTGTAAGGGGCCAATAAACAAAATGCAGGTACTCTGTACATCTATCAGAAGATTAGCATGTTCTGTTGGTGATTACTGGAAATCCATTGTTTGGGGATTCGTTTTCTCATCCACTTGTTTCAAGAGACAAAAGGGTCTCATTAAACATAGTAAACATAGGAAAAGAAATAAAATTCAGCCTTTATCCTACGCTCTCCTCCCTAGATTGCCTATCTGTCATGAGAAATAGTTCAAAATGCTTCCCAAATGTTAATTAAAAATCACACTATCCATTAGCATTATCTTTTGGTAAGAGTTTAAATATAGTCTTGTAGCTGGTGAATGCATGTAAGAACACATTCCTAAAAAATATCCCTACTGAAATCCAATACTGAAAAAAACCTCCATCAGAAGACCTGTCCTAATTGACCTTTGCAGAATTAGCAGCTGAATGCATCCAATGCCTGCCATGTTTCTGAAAGCTGTTGTGACCCTGTGATGCTTCTGCAGGTAAGCAGCTCCACTGAGATTGTTCAAGCAAACAAATATTATGAACACTGTGTGGTGGGATCAGGTCAGTAGGTAGCAAATCCCTCACAGCTACTTCTTTTTCAGATTTAGCATCTGTGACTATTTTGGAGTTTCCATTAAATTTTCCCCTTGTATCCCATCAGAACAAAGACTTAATAATACAATAACAATAATTAAGAAGAACTTCTGAAAAATAAGCTCTATTATGACAATGCCTCACAGTTTGTGAAATAGCATCTGGCATCATTTTATTACTGCCAGGTTCTAGGCACTTTATTTAAAGTTTCATTGAACTTTGAATTAGCACAAATCCTTACCTGCTTGAGTCTCCATTAAGTAAGAACAGTGAAATTTTTTCCTTAACCCATAGAGAAAGGAAACCTTGTAGGAAACTGAGTCCACAAAAGATTTGAGGAAAGAACTAAAATTCAAGAACCCTCATAAGGAATGGATCTCATCTAATTTTAATCATCTGTAAGTGGGAGTCTAGTCTAAACATGTTCTCTCAAGTGTCTCTGTGTCCATTTCAAAACAGCTGTCAAAGATAAGTGAAATCAGTCATTCCCTGGAAGTGCTTCTTTCTGCCTGTAGGAAGCTCCAGGTGAGCAGCATGTATGCATTTGTGATGAAATTTGATATTCAGCTTTCTTTCTAATCTCAGAGATTGGTGCTGATTCTTACTCACAGACAGCTTGTGTTGATGCTTCAGCTGCAAACCTGGCCAATTTCCAAGTAACAATGCAGTGGTTTGCTTCACCCTGATGATCAGCCAGAAGAGGCTCCAGCTCGTACTGCTCCATACTGCATGAAGAGCTGGTCTCACAGACCTAAAATACATTACATAATTTCAGGAACAAACTTCAGAAGAATTTCTGTTTAGACTTTAAAATGTGCACCCTTCTCAATGCTTCTGTCAGTCCTCAGCTCCTAGACAACATGGTCACATGCAGTCCAGGCATCACACAGTCTGCGGAAGAATTCATAGAATTACTGCTACAGATTTCATTTAAACACCAGGCTGATGGCCTGCAAACATCTGGAGACACTGTCTTTGGCAGACAGACTTGCTGGTGTACTTTTGTGTTCATACAGAACATTCGTAAGAATGGTTTTTTACCATGTTTTCTACCAGCTTGACTTCATTCACCAGATGCCTGTTCTTCTGAAACACAAGAGATTATCTCAGTTTCCTTATTTCTTTGTATCTGGGATTATACCCACATCCCACAGGACTAGAAATTTCTTTTTTTTTTTTTTAATGATAAAAAATTTTTAAAAAGCAAACAAACCGAAGTTTAGGCAGAGGTGTAATAGGAACAAGAGGTATGAATGCACTCTGCACAAGTGATTCCATAAATATTTGTGATCCAATGCAAGGACTGTGCTACTGGTCAGATCAAAGATCAATCTGGCAGAATATACTGGATTGGGCAATATATGATTGGGAAAAAGTAAAGGAAGAGGTGAGAATACAGCAGTATGTTCCTCCAAACACTTTCCAAGCACCCAGTGCTTGGAAAATCCACAGTTTGTCTTCTGGCATTTAACAGTCTGCAAGAAATTTCTCTTCTGTGGTGCTGCCTGCTAAAGAATTGACCAATGAATTTGAGCCCACGTAATACCTCAGCATCCAGTGTCTTCTGGCAAGAAACTCCAGAATGTATTACTCAGTGAAGGACAACCACCTCAGTCTGCTGCCAATGTGCTCTGCTTGGTTCCATGTTTAGATGTTGTTCTAGGGGACATCATTTAGTGGGGAAATATTGGTGGTAGGTGGTTGGACTAGATTATCTTAGAGGTCTTTTCCAACCTTGATGATTCTATGTGGTCCCCTTTGGTGGATGAGGATGAACAGGTGCTCCCTTCACATCTTCTTCATCACATTCTTGATTCTATAACCTATCTCCATGTTTTCTTATTCTAGATAAAGAGATTTACTCAAATTGCTCTTTGTACAGACAGTTGTCCAGACTTTTTGACAAAAAATCTATTGGCAAAGGTGCTGGCACACTATGGATTTATCATGGAAAAATAATATTTTCTGTTATTTTTGCTATTTCTCTCTTAATCATTCATAATATCATTTTTTTTATTTTCTCAGAATGAGTGCTGAGGCATCGGACAGGCTGTCCAGGGAGGTGGTAGAGTCACCATCCCTGAAGGTGTCCAAGAACCATGGAGCTGTGGCACTGAGGGATGTAGGTTAGTGGGCATGATGGGGATGGTTTGGTGGCTGGACTGGATGACCTTAGTGGTCTTTTCCAATCTTAATGATTCTGTGATTCTGTGATGTGTCATCAGTTTCTACAACCTCCATCAAGAGTTGTGTTGCAATATATCCAGGAGCTGCTGAACCCTGGAAGGCAGCCAGAGTCTCAGCTTCATCCTCAGGTCCCTACAGACCAGAGACAAATGGGCACACATCAGGACAATCTGTTGTCTGGGGTAGAAGCACTTTCTCCTCCTCTCCTTGCTGTAGCCTGAATCTTCTTCAGTGTTGCCACGAGCTCCTATACTGTGCTTCCACCAGCCCCTGCTGCAATGCACTTCAGCTTGAGCTGAGGAGGGGGGCAGGGGGTGGAAAGAGAACAGAATATCCATGCTCTTCTGTTTTTATAGGATGCCTTTCCATTAATTCCCTGCTGAGTTTTCACCCCACTCAAAATGACTTGCATTCTTTGGGGCACATTTCTCCTCACAAATCTCACAAGTCGAAGAGGCGGAAGCGCTGCAGAGCTTGCTGCCTCACTAAAAAGCACGTTATTCCAAGGCTAAGATCTTATTACAATTCCCTTACTACAGCAACACATTTTTTCCACTCCTTTTCTAAACCTCAAATGCTGTTATGGCGTCGATGCTAAAGAAGTTTAGGCTTGCTTGGATTTCAGTCTTCTGGCTTTGGATGGAGGGGAAACATTATTTCTCTAAATACATGAACCCTTATACACACACTCACATGTCTCAACACACCAATCTTGCAACAGGACTGGCTCGTGCACAGCCTTGTGCCTCTCTGGCGTTATGCTGAAAGCAAATCAGGCACATCTGACAGCCTGGGCTCTTGTAAAGCAGTGCTGCAGTGACGCTGCTGCTAATGCACTCCAGGAAAACAGCAGTGTGCTTCAAAGCAAGCCAGGCAATGGTTACAGTTAAGATGAAGTTAATATAGAGCCAAATGATGCTGCATGGACTCTGTGCACCTCTGCCTTTAGATTTGTGGGGGGAAATATAGTTCATGCTCTTCATTGCAAGGCAGAACCACGAGAAGACACCCTGAGTTCAGGCAACGAGAAGCTCCTTCACCATGACATAATGGTTGTGAAATTCCCATTTCCATCTTTCCCCAGTCCTTTGAGCTTCTTGTTCTGAATATCTTCTATGAGGGGTTTGGGTGGCACGGAGACTGGGACTGGTTTCTGGGAGATGTCTTGGGACTGTTGTTGTCTTCTTGGCTCTGCTGTGGAACCATGCAGCCCCCTGCCATGGGGTACAGACTAGGGCAAATGGATGAGTCTGCCTCATTTCCGATATCAGTGAAGAGACTTATCCATCCATGCTGACTTCCTCAGCACCCAAGGCATCTGAGCATACTCTGGTCTTCAGTCCCAGGGTAGAATCCTCTATTTAGCACATGCATATCATAGAATTATAAAATCACAGAATCATAAAGGTTGGAAAAGACCAGTGAAATCATTTAGTTCAACCATCAGCCCATCCTCACTATGCCCACCAACCATGTCCCTCAGTGCCACATCTCCACATTTCTTGAACATCTCCAGGGATGGTGACTTCACCAAAGATTAGGTATGCAAAGAAGCATAGAAAAAATGCCTAACATATTATACCTGAAGATGCAGATATGCATCTGATGGAATTTGGAAACACACAGAGGCATTTCCCTCCCACTGGGCTTGATCCAGGTCCTACCATTGGTCTGAATGTATGGTGTGGGAATTGGGCAACGTTTCTAACAGGCTTGCTCTGTTGATGAGATTGTCACCCTCCCTCCCCCCTTACACACTCCAAGAACAGCTTGTTCTCTATCACTGAAAACTGTTATTCTTGCACTATGGTTTCACAAGTTCTGTTTCCAGAAATGTCTGATCACAGATAAGACAAATGTAATCTTAATATGCACATCTTGGACTTTGTTTATCCAAGACCAGGCAAAAATAACATTTCATTTCTTCCTCCTGCAGCATCTCCCCTTCTCACCTTCCTAATTTTCTTCAACTCCATCCTGATTTCAAAACAGCACTGAAGACCACTGGAGCAGGGTTAGGATAATCCCTCAGACTGTAATCAGTGAGGCAGGTGTGAACTGTTCACCAGTACATCCAGGCAGCATCTATGTCCTCCTTTCATCACAAAAAGGAGCCTAAGAAAAGGCAGTGTGGTGCAAAGGACAAAACTCAAGTTGTACTTTCCTTTTTGAAGGAAAGTCCAGGCAGCAATTGTTTAACGCAGCCTCTTGACCTGATTTCTGACAATTGGGAAAAAAAAAAGATCTGTGAAAGCTGATATTCCTTTTATCTTGAAGACAGAGACTCATTATTGCTTCTCTGACTTTAAGTGCTACAAACAGAAGGAGCTGGGAAGAAAGCAGCCTTTGCTCAGTCACACATCATGGACGTCAACCACAGGCAGCAGCTGTGCATCTCCAAACATCCCCCAGGTATCTGCTTCCATGGCACTGCATTTAGCCCTAGGACTAAGCTGCAGTCTGGAGAGCAGTAATGGTTCTGGCATGGCAGGATGCCCATTTTCAAACGAGAAAACCTGAGGAGAGGAAAGAAATGGAGACTTCAGGAGAAAAGGCATGTTTAAGTGTCCATAAATTACATTCTCCCCCATCTGCTTTTTAGTTGACTGCAATGTTCTCGTAGCAGTCAGATCTCTTATTCAAGGCTCATGCATCTGCACTGGTGTGCACCATCTGACCATTTGCTTTGGCTGAGCTCCTGATACGCACTGCTTATTATTGCCTCCAACAGGTTTGATAAAGCACCTCAGACAAACTACCAAGCTACCATTAACAGATGTCAATCTTCCTAATCTCATCTTCGGCCTTGAGTGAATGAAGCCAACTTGGTCATGAATGAAACATACACCAAGAACACATGAGTTTTGTGAGGAACTAAAAGGTAACAGGCCATGTTTGAGGAATAATAACTCTCACAACATTGATGCATATCAGACACGGCTATCACTGGACGGCCTTGGACAGGATTTCAAGTAAACAAAAATCAGTGTAGCTCCACTTAAACTAATGATTTTCCACACCAGCTGGAGAGGTAGCCAAGATACCAGAGATGGTTTCATCCATCACTGCTTCTAGCTACATCCTGTGGGCTTCAAATGCTGCTGGGAAAGGCGGAAACCACCTGATAGCCATACCCAAAGCACCAAATTGAGAGTGGTCTTGGATGAGAGTAAACTTCCAGGTTTCATTCCCCTCAGAAGAACTGTCATCAACCGTCCCACTTCAGAGGTAACCACTGATCTCCTGTCTCTGCCTCTTCACTGTGGTCACATTACTGACTTGCATTTGGTCTTTCTGATGGAGACCACAGCTGCTTCCTTTTTGGAAAGCTTGGCTGAACTCATCCGTATCACTGAAAAACAAGCAGGTGGGCTAAGAGCTTGAAATGATTTAGCAGCTCGGTAGCAAATGTTACTAACTCTCCATTAAAAATAGGTGACTCGTGTATGGTAAGGAAGCCCAGCTCCTACTAAAGCAGGCTTTTATTAGAAGCAGACTTAAAGCATAAGTCTTTAATAAGGTTGGATACAAAGCAAAGACTAATACAGTTATGTCTCAATGGAGCTGCTTCCCAGATGCTGACAAATCAGACAACTTCTTCTTTGGCTCAGAGATCGTATCAAGTAGTAAAACTGCTTCCACATGTTCATTATGCACGATTGCTTTTGTGGTTATTAATGCACATACTGTGCAGAGCAGAGATCCTGACCTGCTTAAAACTTGGGTCTCCTCTCACTTTTAAGTGTCTGTCTTCAGCAGCGTGTCCTCTGATGTGGAGAGAGAGCAAAGACTCAATTTTCTACTCCATGAAATGAGTAATAACTCACATTCTTAAACGACTTCCAAACATTTTGTAATCCTTAGATTTAGGGCATACAATATTCCAACTTAGCCAGAAAAGGTCTGCGAAGTTTAGAGACAATAAATCAGAAGATGGAAAGAAGGATAAAAAATGAATTAGAAATGCAATATAGGATTTAAAATAATCAATTGACAGCTCTAAGCAGAGAGGATTTGGTGATAGTATGACAGAGAGAAGCTTTAAGTAAAAATGTGCATCTAAACCCACTTGTTTCTCCCTTTTCAGGTGTTGAATTCTGCTTTAGTAAAGTTGTCATAACTCACAAGCAAATGTGCCTCCAGCTGTGACAATAACTCAGTCCCAGCTTATGGTTGTTAAACTACGTGCAGGGTTTGTGATAAAAAAAAAAAAAAAGTATACCTGGCTGCTGATATGAAAGCCAACCTCAATTATTCATATTCATAATTGCAACTTTGCTCATCAGCCTGGGCAAGTCCCATAACCTATGTTCTTCAGCTCCCTCTTGTGCTGTGCACCTGTGACAATAATGGTGTTACGATTCAGACCAAAGAGATATATGAGCATGAAGGGTGGAACTAGGTGATCTTTGAGGTCTCTTCCAACCCAAGCCTTTCCATGATTCTGTGATTCTATGACTCTATGACCCTACAGTTCTTTGGTTCTGTGATTCTATGAAAGGTAGCAAAAGCACGGTCCAGGCCAGGAAGGCTTTAAAAGGGAAAAGTATGTTGGACACCTGTAATGCTGGTGGCAATGTTTGTCTCAGGTGTGTGAGGAGGGCTCCAACCGAGAAAGAAGCCTACTGCCTGAGAGATTGGACCTGTTCCTGCTGGTTCACAACCCCTGTTCAAGCAGTGATTGCTAAGAAGAGTGAAACAACACACACAGAGGCAGAAAATCAAGAAATCAAAGGTCTGAACCTCCATACCACAAAGCAGTGTTTGTGTGGAGGTGTGTTTACTGAAGCCTCAGAGAAACATCTTGTTGCCATCACACAAAGCAAAGGTGCAGCTTTCAGAATAATGGCCCTATGCAGAGTGCACCAAAATCAATGGAAAGACTCCTACTATATCCAGCAGAATTTGGCTTGGATTGTACAAGAGTCATGTTCACAGTGCTCTTTCATTTCTCCATTTAGAGCAATGCCTCATCTAGGAATAGCATCCATCCTTCACGCACTGCCAGTTGTGAGAGGGAAGGTTGTATGTGGCTGCACACAGGAATGTGTTAGAAGGGCAGAAAAGTGCTCCTAGTTGCTTCAGGTGACCGTATTCACAACTACAGGTCAATCCAGTCAATGAGTAACTTTGGGAAAAAAAAAAGAGCAATTTGAAACATAGTTGTTCATATTACAACACACTTAATTTGAAAAAGAAAATTTAGATGACTACCTGCATTTTTATATTATTATTATTTGATTTTAAAGGTTAAATATAATGTCAGGAAATGAACTGGGGTTGGTTTCTGAGTCCTTTGAATCTGCTCTGAGTGAATTTTGACCAAATATTCTTTTTCATATAATTTCAATCTGAAAATAACAAAAACAATTCTGTTTCAAGACAACTGTACCTTACATTTTATATTTTGAGTTTTTAGTTCCGTGACCACACCAGAAAACCAACTATTCAGGTAATTTTAATTATAGCTGTAACTGTAGCCATTTCAGCATCAATAACAAGAAAATAATTTCTTGAGCTGCATTGACTGGCAGTGCAGTGGGAAACTGGTCCTGCGTATTTCTGATTTAGTTAATATTACTTTTCTAAGCCCATTTTGCCCGCTTCTCTGCTGTTTTCCCAAGTGTGACTACAGTGCCCTTTCAGAGCAGCACAGTTGTGCATGGCAGGACTGAGGAAGTTTTGGAGACTCAGAACATATGGCCCACTCCAGGCACAAAGCAGAACCCAAAGAAGCACTGGCTGAACAGATTTATATAAGCATCCTTATTTAAAACATCTTAATAGCAAACTAAAGTTTCTCATTTCCCAGCCATCAACTGCTTAATTCTGAGTTTATATTAACATATACACACAAATCCTAGGTGGAGAAAGAAATGCAATGGACTTCTAGACCTTATACTCCTTATGTTCAGCCTCAGCCCCCTAGTCTGTATTTAAAGGTTTTCTGGGCACAGCAGTCAGCAGTCGTGATGCACACATTGTGCACCTCCATTCAGAGCTGTCTCCCGGGTCTTTGAAACACCATGTGAAGTCATGTCATCTGACAAAGGCAGAATGGGATTTCAGCTCTATGTTTTGTGTATAATAATCATGTTTTAAAAATGTATATATATTCTGTTGATGAGAAGTGAAAGAGAACATCTCCAGAAGTGACTCAGCCTCATCTAAAGTCACTCCAAACTATTTGGCCCACAGGGACTTTCCTATCTGGTGACTCTCTATATGTGAAGTCTTAGCTTCCAGCAAACCTGGGTGCAATGTGCATCTGCCTTATGTGAAAGACAGAAACTGTAGCATAGAAGTGCTGCAGGATTCCCTTGGTGGTGCAAATCACTGCCCACAGCCATGGGCTGGTTTCAAAAAACAGCACAAAAAGTAATGTCAGAAGTTGGGCATATGGGGTTCTCTTCATGCCCAAGGGTGGGCAGAAGAAGCCTGACTCCTTGGGAATTGTAAGCTTGCTCACACATGATGAAAACTTCTGTACAGGGAAATTTAAGCAAAAGATATTGCATATTTTGGTGCTGCATTACAAAACCCGATCCAAACTTGTTTTCCTCTGTTTTTAGTTTATTTGGTTGCTGTTGTTCTTGGTTTTTTCTTTTTTTCTTTTTTAATTAAAATAGATGTAGCAGAATAAAGTCTTACTTCTCACGTATATTTGAGCTTTTAAATACCATGATTGCCAGTCAGTTAAGGTGTTATGGAATGAGATATTTATTTGACTGTGAAACTGCTGCCATGTGAAATCCCTGACAGCAAAATCTATGCAGTGTTAAGTGTATTTATGTATGTCTGTGTATATATTGGACATGGCTGTTCTCATCCATAACTGCTGGATGCACAACAATTTTTGGAAGAGACACAAACCTTCATGATTCAAGGCTCTCTCCAGATACTCAGTTGAGGACTTTTTCCAAAGGCAGGCAGTCCATAATACCTTTCTTCAGGAGCAGTTAGTGCTGGTTGCCATTGGACCTAATGGCCAGAAAACCTGATCACCAATCTAGCAGAACTAGGTCTGATTGTTTGGCAATGCTTCTGTTGCATATGGTCATGTCTTTTGGAGCAGTGTATCCTTTTTAATGTGTTTTTTTTTTTTTTTACTCTAAACATCTTACTGTGGGAATCTCTTGGGGGGCAGCATTACTCTTGTTTTGTTTTGGATGTTGCAGCAGAAATCCAAACCCACTCTTTCAATCAGTTTTTAATACTTCATTAAGGACATAATAGGGATCTTCCTATACAAAAAATATTTTGTGAGAGACTGTTAATGTTATGCAGACCCAGGATGGCAGCAAAATTTAATCACTATTTCAATTATGCTATTTTCCTGAGTAGGGTAATTTCCCATCATCCTAACTGGCTAGAACATACACAGGCTTGAAGCATTGATGATGGAATTTCCTGGGAACAAGTTAATGTGGAAGCACTGAGACATTACAGTAATAATGTACTGAAGGAATGTGTTTTTTACTATATCCCTCATCATATTGATGTATATTTTGGCTGACACCAAAATGTAAATGTATAATGTGTACTATGCTGTGTTCTGTGTTTTCCTGGCTCTCCCAAGCCAAAGTGGGAAGCACTACCCTAAGTCAGTGACTTCTGAACTTGGTCCTTCAGTGCTTTCCCACAGAGGCCACTGATTTCCAGCAGGAAATGTACAAGTGAGGGCTGCAGGATCTGTCCCTGTCATGGTAAAAAGATGACAGTTACTTGCTTGTTTTCATTAGAAGGGGGAGAAGGAGAGCATTATATAACAGGAGGGCTTTTAGGGGAGAACTGTTTTATTTAAAACCTCCAGTGATAGCCTCTTTCCCTGACGGGAATTGGCTCCACAGCAGGGCATGAAAGCTGGGCTCTTGCCATTGCTGGAGAGTTGCACTCTTCTTTATTAGCAGACAATAAGCCACATTCAAGACACGCTAAGGATCTGTGAGACAAACAGCCAAAGCAGATAAATTCAAAGTGAGGGCTGGTGCTTGGGAGCTGGGTGTTTGCATATGCCTGCAAGGGAGAGGCAGACACAACTGGAGATGTGGCAGCTCTTTTCCAATGCTCTCGCTCCCTGTGCTTGTGGGGATTTGGAGGCAGAGATGTTTTAATTGATATCTATGCCATAGCAGGCAGAAGTCCTGCAGGGCCAGAGCAACTCTCTTCTCATGCCCAACATCCAGGTCTCACCTATTCCAAGGAGAAGGCTAAAAAAGCATGGCTGGTAAGCTCAATGCATAGCTTCCTGTCTCTGCCTGAGTCCAGGAGAAAATGTCTGCAGAGAATGAATGAAGGACTTGTCTAGTGTGCCCCCATCCCCAGAAGTTCCCCTGCCTGTTGTGGGGTCTCCTGGTTTGCGTCTCTGCAGCATAGGTATGAAGATGCCACGGTCCTCACCTGAGGCCTCACACCAGAATCCTTGTTCTGCAGTAAGGAGTGGGACTGCAGGGTAGGGTACGATGCCAGGGCTCCGATGGCGCCATGCTAGCTGTCCTCAAAAGGCCTCAGTCTAAAACATTTCACATTGTGCATGTGTTTATCCAAAGCCCAATTTTCCTATTGTTTTCAGTGGCATTTAGTTTGGGACACAAGGCCCTGAATCAACAGAGGCTGAGCCTGGTAAATCAGAGGGACTTTGATTAGCACAAAGCATTTACTTAAATTATTCCCTGCCTGCAATCTTACACGAAGTGTAGGGTTAGGGTCATGAGGACAAAGCACAGGCACTTCTGTGTGACTGCAGCAGTTCCTGAAGTGCTTTGCAGAGTACCTGGTTGTAGACCCTAAAGATAGACCCTATTCCAAATAAAATGGAGAATATTCTCTCTGGGAACTCACTGGACATTCCTCAAAATATTTTAAAAGGATAGTGGGGTTCACAACATGCAAAGGCAGAGGGAGGTGGCAGAGTCCTGGCTGGAGGCCATTTGAAAAGCCTTCTTTCATAACGGACACTGAAAAAAAATTACAGCAACCTTACAAATATGTATTTCAGCACTGACACATTAATTGTCAACATTGAGCCAAGGAGCATTTTTCACATGTTGTTTAAAAAAAAAAAATTAAAAAAAAAAAATGCTGGCACAGCCTTTCCTGCAGTGGTTCCAGAGGAGTAATTAAACAGGAGCCACTCGGAGCCAGCTCCAGGAAAAGCATACACTGCGATCTCAGAAGGGGAAGGACCGTGTGCCTGTGTGTTTGCATGTGTACAGACATTGTTTTCTGATTCTTCTTTGTCTTCTCTGTGCAATATTTTGCTGTATGTCCATGGCACCTTACTTCAACAGTTCGGAAGGCATATGCTGTTGAGCAAGAGGAAGAAAAGCTCTCCTGATTTTGTTCTTTTATCGCAATGCAGTTTTTTTATGTCACTCATTTTGGCGTTTTATGACTATCCTTTGCACTTGGCTGGTTTAATTTAT